GGGAGGCTCTGCAGAGGGATCTGAATTGATGGGTCAAGGCTGGATCAATGAGTCAAGGTCAGATGGAAAGAGGTTCAATAAGGCAAAGTCCTGGGTCCTACACTTGGATCACACAACCCCATGCAGGAGTACAGGCCGGGGGAAGAGTGGCTGGAAATTTGCCTAGAGGAAAAGGACTTGGGGGTGCTGGTCATCAGCCAGCTGAACATGAGCCAACAGTGTGTCCAGGTGGCCAAGAAGACCAGTGGCACGTGGCTTGTATTAGCAATAGTGTGGCCAGCAGGACTAGGGCAGTGATTGTCCCCCTGTACTTGACACCTCAAAATCCTGCATCAAGTTCTGGGCCCCTTACAAGAAGGACATTGAAGTGCTGTAGTGTGTCCAGAGAAGACAACAACAAGGAGCTGGGGAAGAGTCTAGAAGACAAGTCCTATGAGGAGCAGCTGAGGGAGCTGTAGGGGTTCAGTTTGGAAATGAGAGAAGACCTCATCACTCTCTGCAACTCCCTGAAGGGAGATTGTAGCCAGGTGAGTGTTGGCCCCTTCTCCCAGGCAACCAGCAACAGGATGAGAGGAAATGGACTCAGGCTGCACCAGGGTTGGACATTAGGAAGAATTTCTTCGCTGAGAAGCTGGTTAAGCATTGCAACAGGCTGCCCAGGAAGTGATGGACTCGCCATTCCTGGAAGTGTTCAAGAAATCACTGAATGTGGCACTTGGTGCTATTGTTTAGTTGGCATTGTCTGTGTTCAGCCAAAGGTTGTACTCAGTGATACTGGAAGTCTTTTCCAATCTTAATGATTCTATGATTCTATAATATTGTTCAGGGAGGTGAATAGCAAACAAAAAGCTCCTTCTTGGCCTACACTGCACTCACAGCAAGGGACAGGTGCTATAACGCTGGAGGTGTAATCATCCCTTTATTTACAAGAAGCCATAACTTCAGGGGCAGTATGTTTTGCGCCACGGCTATGTGTAGAGATCCAAAAATTGGTCAGGTCTCTTGTCTTCCTTCTCTCTGGGACACTGGCTCCTATTCAGGTGGTGCTGACATTGCACAGTTCCTGGCAAACTTCTCCACATGCTGACCATGCTGGTCACTCAGAAGACTATAAGATGGGTAAGCTGTCCCACTTCAGGTCATCTTGTCCTGCTTTTTCTGCCCCTGCAGGCACTGAGGGCTGTCTTGCACTATAATTTCCAACTCTCCTTTCATTTTTGTTCTTCTACTCCCTCCACCAAGGCATTGTGTCTGTTAAACCTTAGTGCTGAAATTGAAAAGAATAATGACCCTTTCTTTGCTCATCAGAACCACTTTGGGTAATGTATTCCCTACTGACAATTTAAATTTTTAGCTATGATGATGTCCATTCAGCCCATGCTGGGCAGCCAAGGTAGGCAGACCAAGCAGCTGGAAGGTTGATGCAGCTTGTAGGGAAGGCATGTGAGGAAGTCAAATTACACCACCATGAAATTAAGCAATTAGTGTCCCAAGTGGATCTGACTATAATAGCTGCACTGAGCCTCACATTCCCAGAAGTCAGCTTTTGTATATCATCTGATCAATATTTGCGCTCTCTCACTCCTTTTATTGGATAAAGCTCTGAGTTTATGGAGGTAATGGCTCCAAAATGAAGTTAGGTAAGGCTGTGGCCATGTAGTTCAGCAAGTGGTACCAGTAAATGCAGCAGTTGAAGCAACTGTTGTGATCCAGAATTAATGTATAAGCACAAGAGTATGAAGAACTGCAATGGTGACAATTTTCCTGCACACAGAGATTAGTGAGACTCTTACAAGAGTATCGTGTCTGGTTCTGAGCACTTCAGGAAAAAGCTGAAGGAAAATCTAGTGTCAGGAAGACCTATCTTACTGAGTGAGAAGTTTAAGGCCCTATATTTAGTTTACTTGTTCAAAAACACGATAAAACGATAATTTCATTGTTGGCTGCAATTAACTCCATGAGAAAGGATTTCTGATAATTATTTTTATAAATCAAAGCAGACAAGATCTGCTCACTGAAAGTTATGTTTAAACAAGCTTACAGGTGTGCAGCAGTTCCTCTTCCAGCTCAGGTCCTGAGAAGAAGCAATGTAATAACTCAGGCATCACAAATACACCTGATAAAGAGAGAGATATTCTTTGGAAATGTTGTGCTTCAGGGCAGACCGCAATAGGACAGTCTGTTCTACTTTATCAAACCTCAGGTTACATTCACAGCACACAGTGCAGCCTGTACTAGAGACAGCTCGTCTGGATGTAGGGAGCGAACAGCAGTGGTGACACGGCTGTGCTGACACACAGTCCTCTAGGCCCACCTCTCATGACAGCAGGTTGGGTGAATCAGAGCTGTATGCTAATAATGCTATATAGCTTTCATAACTAGAGGTGTATAGCATCTGAATGGTGGCTGTACCCCTAATGTTCATTGGACTGTGCCATAAGAATACTGCTGGACCAGAGCGTGCAGTTTTCACATTACACTGAAAGCTCAGCCTAGCCCAGCCTATTTGGGAGCAATTTTTTTTGTTGTACCCTTCACCCAGTTTTCCAAGTCACATAAGAATGCACTGAATCAGATTATATTCTTTCTTACACTCTCGGCATTGCTGTGGTGAAATTCCCTGTATTTCTTTGGTCATTTTGCTGATGTACCTCAGTGTAAAGCAAAGAAGAGCTGGAAAGGCTTTTTAGTCCCACATTACTACTAGACTACTATTAGACACGCCACTGACACAGCAATCCTTCATAAGGAATTGCTATGTAAATGCTGCTGCTGCTGCTATTGCTACTGCTACTGCTACTGCTACTGCTAATAATAATAATAATAATAATAATAATAATGTGTCAGTCTTCTGCTGTGCCGTGGATCCCACACTCGAAGCTTTCCATTAAGCAGACACCATACTCTAGATTTCAGTCCTAGGTCACATTTCATTTTTGTACATTGTTAACAGAGACCAATTTAATCCTCTACAGATAGAAGGCAAGACCAATTGTTCTCAGCTTGGGGGTTTAGACTGCCTTGATCAGCACAGAGGAGGAGCCAGTTAAAAATGAAACAAAAAATACAAAGCAAGTAAGAATGTGTCCCTTGGGGTGAAGGAGGTGGCCAACAGTTCTGCCTTATCTCGGAAGCTCATCATTTTTATTTCAGTGGTTGAAGAGCATTCTTTGTTCCCTGCCCTGGCAGGAGCAGAGCAAAGCACTGCCTTGTTGGCCTTGTTGTGGCAGTTGTGACACCCTATTTTTGGGGAGGTGGCAGGGAAGAGCAGTTCTGCCCCTGAGCTTGACTGAAGAGAAATGTGGAGCATGAGGAGCAGGGAGAAAATTTGGGACAGCAAAAGCAGCCAGCAGTAGGCTTTAACAGAGATTAAAAGAAAAAGATTTTCCAAAGGGCATGGAAGGAAGAGTGGAGGCTGTTGCTGGTAGCTGGGCTGAGAGCAAGTCTGAAGAATGGTCCCTGTTGGGACCATTCAAATACACTGGACAGTGTTTGAAATCTGATGGAGTCTCTTCTTTCCAGTTGTGGAACCATCTCTGGGTAGTTTTTAAATGCTCACTGTAGCAACAAAATGACAATGAATCTCTGCATGCCAGCTCTGCCAGATGGGGTCCTGTCACATCTCACATATATCTCTCTGCAATCAATGCCTCATTTGCATATTTCTTTTTCTCTTTGCTAATCTGGCATAATGATTGGGGAGAAAATGTGTAATTATTTTTCCCTGTTATAGAGATTTCTCTACCCCCGCATTCATTTTTTAAAAGGAGGATAATCTTTCAGGTTGATCACATATATGTTCCTGTTGTTTACAGACATCAATCTAATGATATCTCAAACATTATTCCTATATAATTGGTATGAGATAAGTGTAATTAATTTTGAACCTATAAACATCTCAGTGCACAAAATTTGTTCCAAACAAATCACATTAAATATGTATCTCTTTGTTACCTTTGATAATATCTGTTTACAATACTTATTTTCAGTTCCAATTTCATTTTCTTGTCTGATTTTCTCAGTTTCTCTACTTTCAAATAAGTTTTATACCAGGAAAGAGATTTTAAAACCTATTGAAATACAAAAACATTTAAACTATCACTCTCCTTTGTGACCTTTTGTTATCTAATGTCTATCTAGTCCTCATTTGCTTAAGTATCACTAAATGTTTTATAAAAAAATCTTAGAAGTATTCTAATGAGTTCAACCTTACTGATGAAGCTACATTCAACCATGATAAATTTAACCAATAAATTCTGTCATCCCTATGGCTAACAGTCAGCAGGACTGTAGCTGCCTCTTCACTGCTGCCCACTAAGCCACTAGAAGACTGAGATGTGCAAGGAAAAGCAAAGGGTATCTACGGTGATATTCAAGGTTGCCTTCAGCAGCCTAATCCACTCAAATTGCTATCCAAGTTCACTTCTGTGGTGGTTTGGGCTAGGCCTTCCTTGGTGACCAGTTTGTAACCAAGGAAGGGTCCAGATTTACCCAGTATTCCCTACGATTTTTACGTAAGCCAGATTATAAGAAGAGAGGAGGAGAGGCCTTCGCTCTCTTTCCTTCCGGCGGCTTGGAGGTGCAGGTTCCCTGCTGTTGAGTCTGCCGTGCTGGGGAGCGAGGCCTGGTTAGGCCTTGTCGACCTTGGGAGACAGAGGTTGCCGGCGATCGTTCCGGAGCGACTCTCAGTTGTCCCAGGGGAGTAGTGAGCTATTTTTCTTTGCTAACTTTTTAGTTGTTAGATATTGGGTCTTGGGATATCTATATATTTTATTTTAGTTTTGTTCCCTTTCCTTTTCCTTCTTCCCTTTCCCTTGTGAAATTGTATATAAGTGTAAATATATTTATATATCTCACTTTGGTTGTCTCTCTCTCGTTTCGGGTTTTTTTTCTTAGTTTTTTTTTCCTCCCTCTTCTCCCTGAGGTTGGTTTGGGGGGGGGGGAACTTTTGGTGGTAAGGTTTGGAGACTTGGCGGAGGCCAGCTTCAACCATAGCAGGTCACAAAGTAAAGAGGGCTCACCATCTGGCTGTACTCTGGGATGTGCATCCTCCAGAAGCCAATGGCTCCCAGAAAAGCTTGGGTTTCTTTCTTGTTTGTGGGTGGAGCCATTGCTACAATCTTGTGGAGGACGTCTGTTGGTATCTGGTGTCGTCCATTTGCCATTTCAGCCCTAGGAACTGGATCTCTTGGGCAGGGCCCTTGACCTTACTCTTCTTGATGGCAAAACCAGCCCTGAGGAGAATCTGGATGATCTTCTGTCCTTTCTCGAAAACTTCTTCTGCTGTGTCCCCCCACACAATGATGTCATCGATGTACTGGATGTGTTCTAGAGCCTCATCCTTCTCTAGTGTGGCCTGAATCAGTCCATGGCAGATGGTTGGACTGTGCTTCCACACTGGGGCAGTCGATTCCAGGTGTACTGAACGCCCCTCCAGGTGAAAGCAAACTGTGGCCTGCACTCTGCTGCTGAGGGAATGGAGAAAAACGCGTTGGCAATGTCGATGGTGACGTACCACTTTGCTGTTTTGGACTCCAGCTCGTCCTGGAGCTCCAACATGTCTGGCACAGCGGCACTCAATGGCGGCGTGACTTCATTTAAGCCACAATAGTCCACAGTCAGTCTCCACTCTCCATCGGACTTACAGGCCAGACGGGGCTGTTGAAGGGTGAGTGTGTTCTGCTGACCACCCCTTGGCTCTCCAACTTCCAGATCATCTTATGGATGGGGGTCACAGCATCTCGGTTCGTCCGATACTGTTGCCTGTGTACAGTTGTCGTGGCCGTTGGCACTTCTTGTCCCCAAAGCTCCAGCGATTCCTTTCGTACAACAAGGGGACCAATGCAGCACCACCTCTCCAATTTTAAGTAGCATTTTCGCTGCCTTCACCACTAGGATCATTGTCGCTGAGCAATGTAGGGATGGGTTAGAGCTGATCTTGGAGTCTTTGCTACCAAACCTTGAAGGCCACCATTAAGGAAATTGGCTACTAGGCCATGGGTGTCGAAATTAAGGAAAGGAAGCAATTTGTTCCATCCATCTGAACGGTCCCTCACAGGATGTCCTAGGATAGGCACAAAACCAGCAAGAATCAGGAAAAAAATTAGTAAAAAGGCCATTGTTATTATTTTTCTTTCTCCTTCTTCCTAAACAAAGCTATGTTTAGATAAACAAAATCCTTCTTGGCAGCTCTCCCGGGAGTGTCCCAAAACAATGGTGGATGTTGACAAAACAAACCTGCTCTTGGCAGCTTTCCCAGACAACGTTCCCACAACAAAATCAAAGGAACCAAAACAATCCCACTTCTGACACCAAAACCATCTGTAGCCGGTTGGAGTTGGCTTCCTGCCAAACCCCACAGACTACAGAAGATTACTACGTGTAAATTTAGGGTAGAACTTAGGTGGGAGGTTCCTGTGCCACAGAGCTCTTGCCCACAGTTTCTCTTGGAAAAGAATGGAGTTCCACAGCTCATTGCTTCCATTTCAACCTTTTTGGGCCTTTGACCACTCTGGAAAATCTGGACAAACCTGATGAGCAGAAGTCTTGGGCTTTACCACAGGTGTCTGGGTGGTGTTCTGAGAGCCAGACTTCTGCTCAGTCCCAAACTGATGCCAACATGTCCCAGGCCAGGTGAATCCAGAAGTGGACTTGCAGCCAGAAGTCCGCTGACAGCGCTGCTTGGGACCACAGATCTGCTTCTGTGGCGCTCCAAAAAGAGCTTGGTGTTGGCCACTGCAAGTCTCTCAGTAGCTCTGAAACATTCACAAGCACACACAGAGTCATCTTTGGCAGGAAGGCTTTCGCAAAGTTACCCTCCACAGCCTTGACTACTACTCGACTTCTAAAAGCCAAGGGCATGAAGAGTGTCCAAAACCAGCACATCCTTTGATCTGAGCTTGTTCCCAGGGCCTGTTTCTAAGAAATCACACCAAGTGCAAGGAGTAGGCAGTGGCACCTCCAGAAGAACTCTGGGCTACCCTGGCCTTCTCAAGGAAAGCTCAACCCTCAGACCCGCTGCCAAAACAGAAGCCAAGAAAGAGCCGCCTTATTTTGGATTCACAGAATCCAACTCTCTTCTCCCAGAGGCCTCTCCTTATTCAAACAGGAAAGGGCACAAGATTCATCTTCTCTGTCACCCACGGGATGAGGAGAGGAGAGACTGGCAAAAAGACTGCCTGCTAAAACAACCTCAACTTGAAAAGACACCAATAATGCCAGAGTGGTGCTGCTGTGGGGTTACTGCTGGAACTCTAAAGAGAAAGGAAGACAGGTCTGAGGAAGGGAAGGGTCTGAAGGAACGTTCCCCACAAAGATGCCACGTTCTGCTGTCACACCTGATGCTGGCCAGATGCAGAAAAGGGATTTCCAAGGAAAATGCAGGAGGAAAAAGGAGTCTGTTCTTACCAGTCCAAAAAAGCAGGGACTTACCTTTCCAGTTTCTTGGTGAGGCTTTTTCTTCTTTGGGCTTCCACCAGATACAGCTCTTTGTACTTGTCCACTTCTGCCTGGGTGGATTCCTTTTGAAAAGGTCTTTCTGCTTGGTTGCTTTTTGTCCTTCCCAGTGCACGTTCCAGATCTCTAATTCTGTCTTCTAACTGTTTTTTCAGTGACTCCACATGACTGCTTCTGATTTCTTCTAAGGTGTCCTGGTGGGCTGCCTGTGCCTGAAGGAGACAGTGCACCTTCAACCACCACAAGAAAAAGAGAGCTCTGCCCAGCACAAAATTGCACACACCCACTTTCAAGGGCCCAGCCTGACTCAGAGAGGCGGTTCTGCCTCCTCACTCCCAGCAGCAACCAAGGCACAACCCAGGAGCTGCCAGGGCAAACAATTCTTTGCAGTGGGAAAGAAGCCCAAATGAGCACTCTGCTTCAAAGCTACTAATGAAGAGACACTGGGTCTGTAGGACAGGGCATGTCCAAAAGGATTCTTCAAAGACAAGAAGAGCTTCCATCCACCTCCAGCCCCTCCCTCCCATCCCTGGAATTTCAGTGACTCCTTTTCTGAGCACTTTCACCTCCTACAAGGACAAAGCAGCACCTGTAGGTCTGGCCATGACAGCTGCAAGTTGCCAAACCCATCCAAGGATGAGCAGTGAGAAGCAGAGCAGCGCACAGAGATCCCCCCAAGCACTGCAAAGTGGGAATCTGCCTTGGGCAGCCTTTGCATTCAGGGACCTGCCGGCACATTCCACACCCATGACAGCACTCCTGCCCAACCAGATTGCCTTCTGCCACTGCCTTCAGCAAAGATAGAAGCTAACCCACAGAACACAGGAGCAAAAGAAAAAGACCAAACACCATGGCCACAAGAGAAGTTTAGGAAGTGCCTGTGGACACTGGGGAGAAATTCACTTACTTGCAAAAACTCATTGACTTCTTGGAGTTTTTGTCTTATTTCCTGGTCTGCTTGTTCTTCCACCTCTCTTTTGCACTGTTCGAGTTGGCTGCGATCCACCACGTTGGTCTCCAAATGATGGTGGAGTTTTGCCAGCTCTTCTTGCAGCTGGCATTTGTCCAGGGCCAGGTTCTCGCACTCCCCACGCAGGGCAGACAGCTCTTCTTGCAAAGCCTGATTTTTGGCCTCCAGCTGCGTGCACTGTTCACGTTCCCTGTCCAACTGCTGGGAAAGTTCAGCAACCTGCAGACAGAAAGAACAAAAAAGGAACTGAGTGTGGTGTAAATGCAGTGAATTCTGGGAAAACCCCAAAACTGGCCGCCCAGGGAGACTTTATTCATCATCTGCTGGCTCAGGACTAGACACAAAGTGCAACCAGGCTTTTCTTTTCCAGCAAGAACAGCTTTCCCATCATTTGCCATAGGATTCCTCAGCTTCCCAGCCTTTTGGAGTTCCTCATGCAAAAATGCTCCAAGCTTCTGGACTCCAAAGGAATCACTGCAAAGGCAGGAAGCCATTCTACAGGGATGCCTTCAAACCCAAGCGTGGCTCTGACAGACGCCGCTTCAGCAACGGATCCGAGTGACGAGCGGAGAAGGGATGAGAGGTTCTGTGCCACTGCTGCACAGGCACAGCAGCCTCAAAAGCACTGCTTGGAACAGCCCTTCTGGCTCCCCGCCACAGGATGGGCTGAAACAGCTCCCCGTGAGCAAGAAGGGACAGATTTTCCCCTGGGAGGCCCCTGTCCTCCTTGGGCCCTGGGCAGCAACAACACTGTGGAGAAAAGCCAAACCTCAAGTGCCTCCTGCTCAGCTCGTGCCTGAGACAGGGCTCAGGGGCTGATGGTGCCCTGCCAGTGACAGCGCTGTTCCTCCCCTCTCTGCCAGGGCAGCAATTCATCTGTCACACCCAGAGGACGCTGTCACAGCCTCCCTCCAGCTGCAGCCAGGCCTGAGCTGGGCCCCACTGCTCTCAGCCCAGGGACGTGATGTCCTGCCAGGACGGCAGACCTGCCCATCCCTCAGGCCCAGTCGGGGGATCTGCACTCTTGGCTGACCCCGCTCACTCTCACAGGACCTGTTCTACTCTTCTTGCTCAGGGCCTGTGGGACGGCTCCCTGGCCCCTCAGCTCACACACCCTGCCAGGCTGGCTGCCACTCCTGGCTTGCCCCTCCTCTGCAGGACAGCCTGGCCTCCATCAGCCCTTACACCTACTGCTTTGCCCTTAACATTTGCATCTTTCCCCAGAAGGAGAACTACCCCGGATTAGTTCGAGTCATCTCCCACTGGAACAGCAGGAGGAGCATTAAGAAAAGCCCATCACATCCAAAATGCAGCCAAGGGAATAAAAACATCCACGTGACAAGAAATAGAGGGAAAGCATCTCCCAGCTTTCAAAAGAAGGAACACCACAACCAAAGAGCCCCACCCAAAGCACAGCTCACCTCTCTTTGGAATCTATCAACTTCCTTGACCTTTTCAGAATATCTCTTCTTCATTTCTTCCAGCTGGGACTGACTTTCTTTCTCTTCATTAACCCGGAGTTTCCTGCTCTCTATCCTCAGAAGCTTTTCCAGCCTGCACAGCAAATTAGTGAAGAAAACCATGGAGCACAGGAAGAACCAGCTTTTCCCCCACAGTCTCACAGAAACAGCACAGACAGCATCCAAGCCTAGAATGGCTTGGCTTGGCAGGGACATTAAAGATCATCCAGTTCCAAGCCTCCTGCTCTGGACAGGGACACCTTCCACCAGACCAGCTTGTTCACAACCCCATCCAACCTGGCCTTGAACACTTCCAGCCATGGGGCATCCACAGCTTCTCTGGGCAACCTGTTGCAATTTCTCACCACCCTCACAGCAACCAATTTCTTCCGAGGATCAAATCTAAACCTACTCTCTTTCCGTTTGAAGCCATTCCCCCTTGTCCTCTCACTACCTGCTCTTTTAAATGCACTCTCTTCATCCTTCTTGTGGGCTCCCTTCACACCCCAAAAGGCCACAGTTAGGTCACCCCAAGGCCTCCTCTTTTCCAGGCTGAAGGGTTGCAATTGTCCCAGCCTTTCCTCCTAGCAGAGGTGCTCCATCTTTCCAAGCACCTTGGTGGCCTCCTCTGGACTCAGTCCAACAGCTGGAGGTCCTTGCTGTGCTGAGGAGCCCAGAGCTGGATGCAGCCCTCCAGCTGGGCTCTCCCAAGGGCAGAGCAGAGAGGCAGAATGCCCTCCCTCCACCCGCTGGCCACGCTGCCTGGGACGCAGCCCAGGACACAATTGGCTCTCTGGGCTGCGAGCGCACATCGCCGGCTCATGTCCGGCCTCTCCTCCAGCCCAAGGGCTTCTCGGCAGGGCTGCTCTGCCCCTCTTCATCCCCCAGCCTGCACTGATACAGGGGCTGCCCTGAGCCACGGCCAGCATCTTGCACTGGCTCTTGGTAAACCATCAGCAGATTGCCATGGGCCCACTTCTCCAGCTGGTCCAGGGCCCTCTGGATGGCATCAGCTGTGTCAACCACACCCCTCAGCTTGGTGTCAGCTGCAAATTTGCTGAGGGCGCACTCCAGCCCTTCCTCTGGATCATTAGTGAAGAGATTAAAGAACACTGGGCCCAATCCAGACCCCTCAGGGACACCACTCGGCACTGATGGCCCTCAGCACTCTGAGCCATTGATCACCACCTCTGCATGGCACTGTTCACCCAATTTCTTATCCATCTAACAGTCCACGCATCCAATCCATCTCTCTCCACTTTGGAGAGAAGGATGTTGTGGGGGACTGTGTCAAAGGCTTTCCAGAATGACAGGGAGATGACATGGGTAGCCCTTGTCCACTGAGGCAGTCACTCCATCCTAGAAGGCCACCAGGTCGGTCAAGCAGCACTTGCCCTTGGCGAAGCTGTGCTGGTGCTTCCAATCACCTCCCTGTCATCCACGTGCCTTGACAGAGCTTCTAGAAGGATCTTTTCCGTCACCTTCCCAGGCACAGAGGGCAGGCTGACAGCTTGGCAGTTCCCAGGGCCCTCCTTTCTACCCCTTTCAAAGATGGGCACAGTGGGTTTCCCTTTTTCCCCTCACCTGGGACTTCCCCTGATTGCCACGACTTTTCAAATATCAAGGACAGTGTCTTGGCAACTCCATCAGACCCTGTTGGCCAATGGAGGGCAATAATGCTGGCCAGATGGAGAAGATGGATTTCCAAGGAAAATGCAGGAAGAAAAAGGAGTCTCTTATTACCACTCCAAACAAGCATGGACTTACCTTTCCAGTTTCTTGGCAAGGCATCTTCTGGTTTTCACTTCCTCCAGATACAGCTCTTTGTACATCCCTACTTCTCCCTGTGTTGGTTCCTTACAAGAAGCACTCTCTTGTTGGGTGTTTTTGACCCTCTCCAATTCACTTTCCAGATTTCTAATTCTTTCTTCCAACTGGATTCTCACGAAATCACAATGACTGTCTCTGGTTTGTCCTAGTGGGGCCTGGTGGGCTGCCTGTGCCTGAAGGAGACAGTGCACCTTCAACCACCACAAGAAAAAGAGAGCTCTGCCCAGCACAAAATTGCACCCACCCACTTTCAAGGGCCCAGCCTTACTCAGAGAGGCGGCTCTGCCTCCTCACTCCCAGCAGCAACCAAGGCAGAACCCAGGAGCTACCAGGGCAAACAATTCTTTGCATTGGGAAAGAAGCCCAAATGAGTACTCTGCTTCAAAGCTCCTAATGAAGAGCCTGTGGACACTGGGGAGAAATTCACTTACTTGCAAAACGAGGCTGACCTCTTGTAGCTTTGGACTTCTTTCCTGGTCAGCTCCTTCTGCCACCTCTCTTGTACATTGTTCTCTTTGGCTGCCATCCAGCACCAAAGTCTCCAAATGATGGTGGTGTTTTGTCACCTCTTCTTGCAGCTGACATTTGCTCTTCTCCAGTTGTTCACACTTCCCAAGCAGAGTGGACAGCTCTTCTTGCAAAGCCTGGTTTAGGGCCTCGAGCTGCATGCCTGTTCCAGGCTCCATGTCCAGCTGCTGGGAAAGTTCACCACCCTGGACACAGAGAAAAAAAAGGAAAAGAAAACTCAGCATGGTCTAAAGGCAGTGAATTCTGGGAAAACCTCTCAAGGGGGTGGCCATGGCAACTGTATTTATCATCTACTGGAAACGAGCCTAGAAAACACTTGAAAGATTCCCCGACAGAAAGAAGAAACTTTACACCGACTTAAGAATTTGGGAGACACTTCTGGCAACAATACTTCTGGGTCCCTTGGAGATCATGACGAAACTCCTCATTTAGAATCTAAGAATTCCTCCAGTGTCCAGCACACCAAATATCCTCAGGGCTTTTGTAGCAGCTGGGGAAAGGACCAGGCTGCTTTCTGAGCAGCCTCTGCTGAGGAGAAGGCAGAAACTGAGCTCCCCAGGCTCTGCAGGAAAACTTCATCTGACAGGTGCCCCACAGAAATAGGCAACTAGGCTCAAGAGTCACAGAAAGGAAAATTTAGGACCAGCTTACTGAGGCAGAGGCTTGCAGGGCTCTCGCAAGGGCTTCAACGCTCTCGCTTGGCTGCTGGACAGTGGCTTCCAATCTGCTGTTCTCACTTGCAAAGCTTAAGAAGAAATACAGCTCTTATTACCAGAAAATCCAATGCCAGACAAACTGTGCTAAGGAACAGAAGCCACAGCAGAAGTGTCCTTCAAAATCCCACTGACTCTCCCCCTGTTTCCACCCAATCCCCCAAAGCCACAGACCCCTCGCTTCACTGGGTTACTCTCTTACTCTTGCGCGTCTTCTTCCAGGAGGTCCTGCAGTTTCTGGGAGGAAGTTATGGCCTCTCTTTTCTTGGCATCCAAGGCACTCTTCAAGTCAGGAACACAATGCTCAGACTGAATATGCTTTTCTTCCTCCTCCTGTAGCTGTAAAACCACGGGAAGAATCCACAGTTGTCAGGGGAGCTTTTCCAGAGAGGAGCCAGCTGCTGCTGAAGAACTCAGGTGCTGCATGTCTGTGTGCATCCCCTCTGCCCAAAGAACTGCAGTCCATTCAAGTCCCTTCAAAGCTTCACTTCTACTCCCCAATGAACACAATGAACACTGTTTTGTCCGTTTTCAGGATGGATAGGAAGCAACAGGCACCCCCAGGTTTCTCCCTGTGGGGACAGGCTTTCCATACCTCCGCATCAGCCCTGTCCAGCTCCTCCTGCAAACGCAGATTATCTTCCTCCAGGTGAGCCTCATGGCTTCCAGGAACCACAAGAGCACTCCTAAAGCATGCAAAATTTCATCGGAAACATGTCTGATCCTGCATCAGTTTTCCCCTGCTTGCTCCCAAAAGAGCTCTTCCCCCCTTTCCTACAAGCTCCAGGAAAGCAAAGCCAAGTCCATGGAAGCACTGGAGAATTTCTCTTACAAGGGGCCTCCCTAAAGCAGCCTCAACTACCAGCTCAGGCCATGCTGTTCAGGGCTCCTTGCACTGCTCTTCAAAGTCCCCCCACATGCGGCTGCACAAACTCCCAGGGCAAGCCCTTCGACCCCCTGACCATCTCCATGGCAGGAAGTTTTCTCCTTCTGTGTGCTCGGAGCCCCTCGTGTCCCCTGGGACAGTGTTGCTTCTCTTTTCCCCAACGCTTCCCTTCAGAGCACTGAACGCCCCAACTCTGCCGTGCCTTAAACCCCCCTGGCCTGCAGAGCAGCCACGCTGCTGAGCTACTGGCAAGTTTCCCCGGGGCTCTGGCTCTGGGTGGGGGAGGGCACCACAGACAAGGCTTTCTTGCAGACCTCAGCGGGCAAAGGACGAGAGCCCCTGAGGTACGAGAGCAGCCAAGGGCAGACCTGCATTTACCAGTCCCATGGGGAACTGCTTCCACGGGGCTGCTCCTTCTTTTGCCCAGCTCATTGCCACGCCCCTCGTCTGGGTCACACTTGCAGACTACCCAGAACACCCGGGGGCTGTTTTGACAAAGCCCTCACCTTTCCCCCTGGGCTTGAGCAGGCCTGTCAGCTGCTTTGTTCACAAGGCACTCCAGAATCTCCTCGTGCTGTTGCAAGGCTGCAAGTTTCAAGGGGGTAAATCCCCACTAAAAGGAGAAAGAATCCCCATTAGAAAGACACAGACAAGCTCTGCAGCTCTTGGAAAGAGCAGCTTTAGCCACGTGCCAAGGTTACCTGGTTCTGAGCATCACTCTTGGCATGATGCTCCAGTAGCAGCCCTGCTACAGCTGTGTTTTTAGAGAGCACAGCCAGGTGAAGGGCAGTGTTGCCGTCAGCGTCTGCCAGATTGGGGTCGGCACCGTGTTCCAGCAGAACAGCAACACATTCTTCCTGCTCCTGCTGGACTGCCTGGCAACAACACACCAAAAGGGAAAGGCTTCCAACTTTTCCATCCCCCTCTGTCACAACTCCCAAAGCTCCTGAGTGCTGCCATAGAAGACCATCTGCAAAGATCAGCTAACAGAGGCTGTGCCGTGCCCATTGCAATAGGTGTGTTTCTATGGCCCTGCCCTGCAAGGAATCCTGCCAGACACCTCCCCTTTAACACCCCAGCACTAAGCCCCACCTCCAAGCTCAGAAGGCATTGCACACACCTTCATCAGGGCCGTTCTCTTGAAGCTGTCAGCGAGGTTGGGCTGGCTGTTCTTTCTTAGCAGATATCTAACGACATCTGCATGGCCATTGGCTGAAGCCAGATGCAGAGGTGTCCTAAAAATTAAACAGACGCTCTTAACCCAGACAGACAAAGGACGAGCCCAAGCTGTGTCTCTACCCAGCACCCTGGGGACCCCGCCCGGACTCTGCTCCTCCTGCTGCTGCTGCTGCTGCTGCTGCTGCTGCTGCTGCAACCCTGCCCTGATGAGCCAGAGGGCAGAAGAGAACAGGTGAGGGTTGAGCAGCTGCAGAACAGCCCTGCAGAGAGAGCACGGCCAAGGGGCAGGTGGGCAACACGCGTTTGCAACAGCGCTGGAGCCCGGCCGGCAGCTCCAAGCAGTGAAAAGCTCAAGAGTTCCCTCTCCCATCTGACAGGGCAAATGTCACTTTTCAAGCCTTGTCCCTAAGAGAGGGCTGCCGAGGACTACTGCAGCTTGGCTCAGGAGCAGCCAAGGTGTGCCATCAGCGTGGCCCAGAACTCACCGCATCTCCTGGTCTGGCCTGTCGATGCCGACTACCTTGACGTACCAGCGCCAGCGCCTCAGCCAACCCAGGTCACCGCGGGCGGCCGCGCAGTGCAGCCTGCCCAGCCCCTGCTCCCGGAGCTGGGAGGCGCTGCTGGAGCTGGTGGCAGCCCAGGGCTGCCCACTGGGGCTGCTGGAGGGCGACTGCCGACGCTTCTTGCTCAGAAGCCACGGCATGGCCCTGCTTGGAGCTCCCAGCAGCAGGAAGGGCAAGAAGGCCCCGGCGGGCTGCCGGGAGCCAAGTGGGGATGAGGAATGGGACGAGGGCGAGGTTTAGGGGGAGGGTGACAAAGGGGACGAGAATAAGGACGGGCACAGGGTATGAAGCACAAGGCAGACGAGGTCGCCCTGCGCAGTGGTCGTGGCCTGCAGCTGCCAAGACGGCGATGCAGGCGCGCAATGCTCCCCGAGCGGGATGTGCTGCTGCTCCCCGAGAGGCTCCAGCAGCTCTGAGCGCCGGCTGCGGGCACCAACAAAGCCGTGCCCGACTGGCGCCTGTGGCGTCACAATGGCTGGTGGAAGGCTCAGCACGTCAGCGTGGGGTGTGACAGAGGCCACGGGGCAGGGTGGGGCCGGGCGGGACAGGGCAGGGCGGGGCAGGTGTGAGGGCGGCCCTGCTGGGCCTTGTGGGAAGGAGGCGGCCTGGGCCTTGTGAGGGCGGCCGGCGGGAGTGGGCACTGCCCCGCCTCAGGGCGCCCCGGGGCAGGGCCCGGGACGCTCCCACCGGGCCGCAGGCTGCGGTAGGCGCTGGAGCAGCTCCCGCATCACCCGCTCTGGCTTTTTGCTTCAGCCTGGAGCCGGGCTGCCTCTGGACACACTGCCATCAAATGAGGCTCAGGAGGAAGTGGGGCCACCACAGCTCTCAAGAAATGCCCACCCAGCGCTCCAAGCCTGCCAGACCAGAGTTCCAGGACAATTCCCCAACTCCTTTGTCTTGTCCCTCTTGAAGAGCAGACACCTCACCCCCTTTCCCCTCACAACTGCTCTCTCCTGCTGCTTTGCCAGATGCCAACAGTGAATTTCTGCTCTGCTGCTCCACCAGCCAATGGGCAGCACACAGCAGGGCAGGAAGAAACTTTCAAACACATCTTGTCCCACTTTGTCCCAATGACAACACCAAGTGAAGGCCCACAAGTTCTGCACCAGCTTTCTCAGGGGAGGGACACTACAATGCACTGCAAGCAGGCTGAAGAAATTTCCCTTTTTCTTTACAGGCTACAAACCGATCTGCTTCCCACAGGATCAAGGATTTGCCTGTGTTTTAAGGCTACCAGGAGCTCACCCACTATCTTCTGCCCAGAACACAAAGAGGAGGGCTCGAAAGCACTGCAAGAGTCTGGTACTGAGTAGCAGCAATAGCTCACCTGGAGGCCATGATCTTAACACCACTGTGCTTCAAGCCTTCCCGGAGGAAGGGCACACATTTGCCTGGCCTCTGGGACAGGCTGAAGATGCAGTTGTGAGCAGAGCTGAAGGGAGCAGAGGACAGCTCTGGCTCGGCCTTCAGGCCTGGCTTCTCTTTCGGCCTTGAAGATGTCTGCCGGACTGATTTGCACTCAGACCAAGGGCAGAGAGAGTTGGACAGGTCCCACCTGTCCCAGAGGCAAGCAGAGGGAAGAAGAGGGGACAGCCTTGGGATGGGGGAATGGCAGAAGGAGAGCCAGCAGGGGGAACAGAAGAAAACGAGGACACATCCTGGAGTCTTGACGGCGACTGCCGTTGGTTCTGGCGGAGGAGCCCCTCTATGCTGTGTGTGCTTTGGCACAGGCTGCACTGTGGGTATGGCCCTGCTCTGCTGGTGGCCACTGCTCACCCTCTGCACAGAATCACGGAAAGACTAAGGTGCTCTAGTCCAAGCCCTGTTCTGGAACAGGGTTTCCTAGAGTCAGTTGTCCCGATCCCTGAAGGTTGGGAAAAGCCAGGAAAGACGTAGGCAAAGAAGACATTCAGTATTTCTGCTTTTTTCCTGTCCTGTGGAACAAGCTGCCCCATCTTGTTGAGAGATGGGCCCACATTTTCCCTGCTTTTCCTTTTGTCACCTACAGACTTAAAGAAGTCCTTCCTGTTGTCTCTGACATCACTGGCCTGATTCAGTTCCATTTGGGCTTTGGCTTTACCAACTTCATCCCTGCATGCCCAGATAACATTTCTGTTTTCTTTCTTTGCGTCCACTCTCTGTAGAGATGGGGGGAAATACATTGGGGGATTTGTTCCCCAGTGTCACGGGTTTACTTATTCTAAAAAACCAAAGGGAATTTTCTTTCCCCTGCTGCCTGTGGTTGAGGGATGTTGAATGGGGAGGACAGTTTTCTGCCTTGGGTGATTACCTACCCAAAGGAACTGGCTGGCAGAACTACTTCAAGCCTGACAGCTCTCTCTGGGGCTGGGGGGGACTCATGAGGAGTTTTTTTCTCCCCTCCTCTCCTTGGAAAGTGGCACTTCACTTTTTGCCTTAATGGAGGCAAGGGGTGTGTGTGTTGGAAAAAGCTCTGAGGCCGTTTTGCTCTCGACCTGGTCATCTGGCTGCTCTCCGGCCTCGGCTTGCCTGCACGCTGCTCTGTCTCCAGCCCCAATCTGCTCAGATTCCATCGGAGAGTTTTGTGCTCACGGACGAAAAAAGGGGAGTCCTGACCACAGCCAGGCACAGACAGCGTGAGTTTAGTGGGAAAGAAACCGCCCTTCTTTCCCCTTTTCCCCTTCCCGTCCTGGGGGCGGGGGGGGAAAATCTCCATTTTCGGCTTTTGCTGCGATCCAACAGCGCCCCCTGCTGGCCAACACCGAGCACTGCAGGCCCCGCCCCTCCAGGGATCCAACAGCTCCTGCCAACCGGGATTGGAATTGCGCCAGAGCACAGGGAAGTATCAATCTGTTTCCTTTTTTGGAAGGGGAGTTTTTGGGCACAGGATTATTGTTTAGTTGGTTTTGTGTTCTTTTGCTGGTTTTGCCAATACACAAATATCCTTTAATAAAGGGCTGTTATCTCTTCCTTTTTTCCATACTTCCTCGATTGGAGCCTCTTAATTTTGGATTTACAAATGCTGAGAGAGAGGAGTTTGGTCTACTTCATCACTCATCCTCCTTAGCAAAACATTCCAGTCTATTTACACTCAGACAGGAGGGTAGTGGAGTGGTTTCAACAGGCCCCTGGCATCTGGCCAGGGTCAAACCACGACACAAGGGGAACCAGGAAGATGTGGAGACCCTGTCACGGGAGAGTGGAAGGCTCAGACTAAGTTTTAAAAAGCAAATCCTTGCCAGAGAGTCTGGAGGTGCAGGAAGGACTCCCTGGCTTTCTGAACTCCTTCCCAGGGAAGGGTTTGGGTGCGGCTGAATCCTCTCTTAGCCCTGGACTGTGTTTGAATTTAAAGGAATTACAGAGCTCTTAAACCACTCTGTCCCACAGGTTTTAATGATGGCAAAACAAGAATATTTATATAAGATGAAAAATGTACTTTATACAAATGATCAGACAAAAACCCTTAATCAGAACTATTTACTGCACAACAGAAACACTAAAACAATATAAACACTAAAAGTCTACTAGTAGAGTCTAATATAGCATAAAGTAGAACAGGGCACTGGAACAAAGCATTTATTGAAGCAGTTCTATTAAAGCTGGAAAACAGAAATAATTATTAAGTAGAGATCTGATGTAACTCACCCAGACCAATGCCTGTGGGGAGATCTCTTCCTCTCAGCCTCAAGGAGTGACCTTGGAGGGCGTCACCAGCCAAGGGAGGAATCTCCACACACCCCCCAGGGAGGGTTTTGTCAGAAAGAACCCGACTGCATGAGAGGGGACTGGACTTTTTATAGGATAAAGTGATTGAGTGCCAGGCCCACCTTTCCAGGCCAGCTCTCAGCTTATCTGTCAACTCAGACTTCAACCAGCAGGGTGTGTGTTCAACGTTGGACCAACCAGGATGGTTTGAGCAGAGTTAACACCGAGACAACACCCTGGCTCCAGCAGTTGATCTTGCGTGACAGTTTGATTATGAGTTTGATTGGATCTTGGGTCTGGCCAGGCTGGGACTGTCCTGCCACAGTCCACCAGCCAGGGGTCTTCCCAACGTGGGTCACTGGGACTGTGGGTCACCAAGCCTGTTCCCAAGGTGGGTCACTGGGAATGTGGGTCACCAAGCCTGTTCCCAAGGTGAGTCCTCCGACAGGTGATGGAGTTGGAGCAGCAGATGAAGCTCTTCCTGCAGTCGAGGCACTCGTAGGGCTTCCCTTACTGGTGGGTCCGTTGGTGTCTGGTCAAGTCAGAGTTGTGGGTGAAGCTCTTCCCACACTCCTCACACTTGTAGGGCCTCTCCCCGCTGTGGATGCGCCGGTGGCTGACGAGGGTGCACTTCTGTTTGAAGCCCTTCCCACAGTCAGTGCAGCGGAAGGGTCTCTCATCCGTGTGTGTCCGCTGGTGCCTGAGGAGATCTGAGCTGCTCCGAGACCTCTTCCCACACTCCCCACACTCGTAGGGCTTCTCCCCCGTGTGCGTGCGCTGGTGGGTGACGAGGTCAGAATTGTATGTAAAGCTTTTCTTGCATTCCCCACATTTGTAGGGCCGAGGCCCCAATTCCCCAGTGTGGATCTGCTGGTGGCGGATCAGGCGGGAGCTGACACTGAAGCCCTTCCCGCATTCCAAGCACTTGTAGGGCCGTTCCCCCGTGTGCACCCGGCGGTGGGTGAGGAGGTGGGAGCTATAGAGGAAGGTCTTCCCACATTCCTCACACTCGAAGGGCCGTTCCCCCGTGTGGACACGCTGGTGGGCAACAAGCTTGGAGCTGCTGCAGAAGCTCTTACCACATTCCAGACACCTGAAGGGCTTCTCCCTGCTGGGAGGCTGCTCAGGGACCACCAGCTCGGAGCTCCGGCTCAAGCTCCGGCCGCCTTCCCAGCACAGGCTGGGTCTTTCCTCCTCAGAGCACCCTGGGCTGGCTTTGGAGCCCCTCCTCCTGAGGGATCTCCTGCTCTTTTCCTCCCCGCTGCCTTCCTGTGCCGTGGAGCCCTTCAAAACGGCCTCTCCCACCAGGGTCTGCCGGGGGGATTTGTCCTCCGTGCCCTCCGTCCTCAGCTCGGGGCCTGGGGCAGGAAGGAAGGACAGGGAGGGGATTTGCCTCCGGCCCAGAGGGAAGGGGGAGGAGAAGGAAGATGGAGAGGAAGGAGGGTAGAGAAGAAAAAAGGAGAGGAAGGAATATGAAGGGAAAGAACAAGAAGAAAAAGAAACACAGAGAGGAAGGAAGAAGAAGAAGAAGAAGAAGAAAGGAAGAAGGAAGGAAGAAGGAAGGAAGAAGGAAGGAAGCAAGAAGAAGGCCCGGAACTGGACACAGCACTCGAGGTGTGGCCTCACCAGTGCCAAGTACAGGGGAAGAACCACTGCCCTGGTCCTGCTGGCCATGCTGGTCCTGAGAGAAGGAAGGAGCAAGGAGACAAGGAATGATGAATAGGAAGGAGAAGACAGAACAAAGAAAAAGGAGAAAGGAGAGAAAGGAAGGAGAAGGAAGAAGGAGAAAAAGGAAAAAACATGAGGAAGGAGAGGAAGGAACAAGGAGCAGGAAGAAGGAAGGAAAAGGAACAAGGAGTGGAAGGAAGAAGGACAGGGAGGGGATTTGCCTCCAGCCCAGAGGGAAGGCCAAGGACATCCCCCCAAATCCGGCCCCGGCAGGACGGCGGCGGCAGCGGGGTTGTCCTGCAGCCAGGGGCGATGCTGGGCTGGGAGATACAGGACAAGACAGGGCAAAGGGGCACTGACTTCCTCCTCACCTGCCCGGGGGGCCCGGGGCATCTTCCTCTTCCTCGCAGCCTCCTTCATCTGGCCAAGCTTTGGGAAGCAGAAATCCTGATGGAGGGGAAAAGAAGGGCTGAGCGTGTTGGGTTGGGGGTTCCTCCCGCCCAAGTCCATCTCTAGAAGTCACTGGGCACCCTGTGTCCATAAAAACCTCCAAACCACCAAGTTTCAAAAAAAAAAACCCAGACCTCCAAGGTTCAGACCAAAAACACCCTTCCAGGAGTTCCTCCTCTCACGTCTCTCCACTTTGGGGTTCTGGGGGTCCCCCTTCTTTCAGCTGCTGGGGGTCCCATGTGTATTGGGGGTCCCCCCTCTCCAGGGTCCCACCCTCTCTGGGCTGCTGAGGGTCCCAAGAATCCCAGGGGTCTTCCCACTTTGGTATTCTGAGGGACCCCCTTCTCTGGGCTGCTGGGGGTCCTGCAGTTTCCCCCTCTCCACAGTCCCCCTGCTTAGGGATGAGGGGGGTTTTGGAGGCCCCAGGGGTCCCTTCTCCCCTGACTCTGCTTTGAGGTGCTGGGGCTCTCAGGAGTCCCACCTCTCTGGGGTCTCCCCCTCTCCAGGCTGCTGTGGGTCCCAGAAATCCCGGGGGT